AATATATTGCTTCAAATTGAAGTGATCTGCATATAAATCAAAATATCTTAAAAGATTTTATATTAGTATTAATGTTAACATTGGTTTTTGTTATTTTAATGAGCAAAACAATTAAATCTGAAAAATAATTGAATGGTTACTTTTTTACAAATTTTCCATGCATATATGTGGGCCAATCATTTGGAATAGGAAAATCAGAATAAGACATCTAAATGCAAATATTTGTCATCAAAAAAAAAAATTTTTATTTCAAATCAGATAATCAGACAATCAAACAATCAAAGTCACATACAGTTTCTTTACTGGTGTTGATGATTGTACTTCGACAGATTGATGAATGCGGATCTTTGTTTTCTTCAGTAACCTCAGTATAATTCCACAGACCACCAATGTCATCGGTTGCTTCAAAACAAACTGGTTCAAGGTCATCAGCCAGACATTGTTTGATGGATGTAAGGCCAGATGATCCTTTTGAAAAAGAAATTTAAAAATTTGAAGATAATGGTGATTATAGTGAAGAAAGATCAATTATAACAAATTAAGAATTCAATTTTAATTTAATAATAATTTAGTTGGTTATATTAATTATTGATCCCATTACCTGCACCTATAATTGCAACTCTTTTCTTTGACATTAGTATTAGTATGAATTAGTTTGTGCAAGTTGCTTTCTTCAATCATGAAAAAAAAGTCGATTTATTATTATTTCGCTTTATTTTATCGCTAAACATGGTTTTTAATTACTATTATTATAATAGTAATAGTTTAACAAATTTGGCCAACAAATTCGATATGTGCGATATGCAAATATTATAATTAAAAATTTCCCATATATTTTCTCCAATTAAGGAAATTTTTATAATCTCGAGTAACTTTTGTAATTGATAAATTTGTTTGTACATCCAAATAAAAATAAAATTTTAATTTGTTTTCTTTATAAATAACATACCGAGTTATTTTTCATAGTGGTATCAAAAAATAATAGAATTACTATTGTATAGTAAATTCAATTTCCAAATAAAAAGGAAGGAAAAGGAAACCAAACGAATTTAATTAATTATTATTATCACACAACTCTCGTTTATTCATTCAAATCTTTCGGCACTACCACACAACCATCCGTTCCGATTATTTGATTATATTTTCAATATGTTGATGACAGTTTTACTAGAATTCTTGGAATTTATACCAACATTGATATTTAACCTTAGATTAATAATCTAAAGAAAATTGGTACTATCATTATTATAATAATTGTTTTGTAGTTACTAATGATTGTAACAATTATTTGATTGTTAGTGAAGTAGGTAATTGTAATAGCAATATAATAATAATATTTAGTATTTATAATAATTAATTATCATCTTTTTTTTTTCAATAATCATGTCATTTTTATTTTATTTTTTTACTTTTTAATTAAAGGCGTGTGTGTGGAAGAGGAGGAAAGAAGAAAAGATGTTCGGTAAAGATGATATAAT